TAGCCAATTTATTAATAGACTTACTGCGTTTTTTTCTTGCGTCTCGGACTTTTTAGGATATGCGCCCTATAAAGATTGAAAATCATTAGTATAATTATTTACCGGCAAATGACCTTGTTTCCATGCATGTTAACTTGTTAAAAGCATGTCACAGAAAAACAAAGATCATAATCTTAAGCTCTTCAGTTAACATAGTTATTATTATAACATAATTATTACCATACTTAGCGATGACCATGCGTAAACAAAAACGAGGCTATTTGCATGGGTAAAATCGATGGTGGTATAAGGTCAGTCATTATGGGATTTCAGGTAGATACATGCACAATATCTCTCAAAGTAGACTCAATATTTGGAACTATGAAATTGATGGACATGCTTTATCGTTAATGGCAAACAAAGGACCATTGTTTGAAAACGGTAATATCTTCGCGTGGTATGGAATAAATTCAAAGATTAAAGGAGAGGCTTACTTCAAAGAGACACCGGGTGATTTACACAACTCTAGTAAGTATGACACTGCATGGAGAACAGTGAAACTGAATTTTTCGTCCCTAGAATTTTTCGTCTAGAAGCATTCAGCTTTATTACTGACTATAATTTATATACAGACCAATCATCTTGATGAACTAACTCGCGTTGCATGATTACGGGAACTAGAATTGGCACTGCGGAGTATTTTGCCAATGATATAAAAGAACAGAAACTCCGTAAATAATAAACATTTTTATACTTCATGAATAAACATATAAGTACTAGTTAAAATAAGAGCGGCCGATCTGTATTGGTTTTTACAATGACGAGTGCGTATATTTTACGTGCCTGCATGTGAAATTAAGCTTATTTAATATACAATCTTCGTGCATTTGCCTAAATCTACTCACGCGATTGGTCAAAATCAATCACGTGGTTTCTTGTTGCCTGGCAACAGATCATGGGAATCATAGTTTAACCCATGAAAATCATGGTTTATTAAAAAATGACAACCTGCGGCGAAGCTTAGAATTTGAATGCAGCAATCAATGAACTCAGATTGCATATGTTCGTGTTTTGTTCACAAATAAACCCACTTGCCGACCATACAATGAACTCGAAACTTCAATATTAAAATTTATCGTTCGTTGTATGGTCAGCACGTGCGTCTATTTGTGAACAAAACACTAAACACTCACAACAGTCTCTAACCCTTAAATATATAATGCATATATTATTATTTATTTAAAAATAATTCACAGTCAACTCTGCATTGGCTAATAGCCATGTGTGAAATCGTGATGTACAACGTGTGACGTCATAACGTGTGATAGGACTTTTTCTTGCACGTTACTACGTCATAACGTGTGATAATCGTATACCACATTTGACATCCCACCAATGGCGAAGATATCAACCATGGCTAATTTTAAGAATTTTTTATCACAGCACATATCATCACAACAGTATAGTAGAGAGGGGGACATGATAAACTGAATGGCCCTAACTGGAAATTGGTTATTTAAAAATGGGGAATTGTAGGGGTTTGGAAAACCTTTTTCAAAGAATTTTCTGTGTTTTTGAGTCGCTTGATTTGAACTTGATTTCCAGCATTTTAGGGGACAATTACTGACGGATTCATCTCAGCAGAGTGAGGTCGGTTGAGAAAATACCATTTATCACAGCACACTGCTCATTTTATCACTGTATATTTTACTTTTATCACTGCACAAATTGGTTATCACTACACACTGAAATTAGGTATGACATCAACGTCCCAAAGGGGCGGGAATGCGAAATCGACACAAATTGAAGCGAATTTTTCGCATGATATGAAAGTCAGTTTTCACATGATATAAAGAACTATCGGTTTTCACATGATATGAAGAATTATCAAGCCTTACTTTGTCATTATCAGCCTCAGCCTTCGGCTTCGGTGTGATAATTCTTCATATCATCATGTTCCACCTCGTTCAATAATTTTTGATTAGGGCATGTGTGTAACAAAGTTATAAATACTAATTAAGATTAGTTGTATCAAAGTTAATATATTCATAAGACCTGCATGGAGAATTACACATGTATTCATTTGAACATAAAACTGACTCATTAATTATTCACGAATTTCACAATAAACATTTTATAAACATTTATTAAAATAATAAACATTTTATTATTTGACATTTAATAAAATAATAAACATTTTTATAATTATTTCTACGTTTTGACCTAACTATAGACTATGTACCGTTATATTTTTTTTTATTTTTACTCCAGATGATTCCGAAACGTAGAAATTAAAATTTTCAAAATGTTTACTTTCTACAAAATTTCTTCTTTTTTATATTTTGGTAATCTTTGATATACACTCTTCAACTTTCTTACGTCTTATTTAACTGATTGCTATCTTAATTATCTTATAATAAGCACTTAAAAAGCTTAATTTGAAGATTTCAATACATTGCATTAATTTTACCAAATTTCGAACAAAAGGTCCCAGTTGATCGCGTCACAAAATTTACATTCCAATCTTTTAATGTACGGATACTCTAGTCTGTAGCGTGCATTTTCTTTTTGCTGACGAATGAAAAAGTAGAACTGTTTAGTGAAAATTCTTTTGTGCGTTTGGATAATCTTTTTCCCGGTTCCATTTTCTACTCATGCTATCGATAATTAACTTGTCATCTCAGGGGCAAAGGAACCGGGGAGGGGGCATATTTTTGAAAGGACGAAAGGTGCCCTTTTTGTGATGAAAAATGCTTTTTTGGAGAAGCTATAATGAGCTATGAATACTATATCAAAATCAAAGATGCCCTTTTTGTTTTTGCGTATGCCCATCTATACGTGCCCCTGTGCCAGGCCGTCAGCTCGTCTCAGCTGATGCATTGTTATTGTTTTCTCTCGCCAGGAGCAGAGTCGGTGTATCAGATGAGTTTTCCTGAAGCCTCAGTGAAAAACTATGTCAAAATAAACGACGTCGTTAACTACAATTTATCGGAAGTCTCCGCCTGTTTTTGGGCGAAATTTTTCCAAACCAATTTTGCCATATTTGCCTACTCAAGTCGGAAGTATACGATTGAAATCCAAGCTTATTTGTATAAGTCCTTCGTCTTGGACCTTCAAGTAAAGAAAGACGTTTGGGAAAATAACGGGTTTGTCTATATTAAGTAGTTTTGGCGGTCCAAACTGAAAATAACAAGTTCAAGTTAAAGTTACGGTGCAGTAAACACTCCGACGTCAGACAAATCTTGCTTAGGTTCCCCTCCCTTTAACTGTAAGAATATTTTTTAAACAAAGGGAAAAGGTTTTGATAACTGCATGATTGAACTTTTTTTCTTACCACTAAATTTATTTTTCTCATCAATAAAAGTTTTTCCTGCATAAATTTGTAAGACACCGGCGTGAGGACTAAGGAATGAGTTTTTTACACCTTATAGACCTAAGATCTCTGCCTATAACTCGTGGCATTTTTATGGCCTGCAGTGGAGAAACTTTGATGGTTTAGTCGAGGTTTATCAGGATGGGAAAAAAATGGGAACAAAATACAGAGCAAAAAATCACATCATACATTCCAACGGCATAATTGTACTTGGTCAGGAATTGGATTCCTATGGTGGGGGTTTTGAAAGTCGTCAAGCGTTCAAAGGGAGCCTTGCAGGGTTGAATGTCTGGAGTCAATTCTTGAAAACCAATGTTATTCAGGGAATGGCATCTGGAATCTTGAATGTTAACGGAAATCTTCTTCAATGGAGAGATTTCAGATATCATGTTTTTGGTGACATAACTATACGGGATGAATCTAATGCGGAAATTCCAGGTGTGTTGTGATATGATACATATATAATTATGACATTTCCAAAATTTCTCAAAAGAATTAAAAAATTGTAGATGACAGGTTATGACGTAGGAAAGCGAATTTAGAAATATGATTTCAGTCAATTCAGGTCCTTCTGTGGGAATAAAAAATTTCCTCCCGCAATTTATATCGACAACTGCTTCGGTAATCTGAGCATTTTTTATCATTTGATGACGACATGAATTGTAACGTTCTCGTTTAGTTGTAACTTGTCACAAATTGTTAAACTTACCATGTTTAATTTAATCTTTTAGAATATCGAGTACAGAATCTCCGAGATGAATGGTGTAAAAGACACATCTCTAAAGCGTTTGCCTATGCAAGATTTATCCGTGGGCGGGACACGGATGGCTACAGGTGGAGATGTGTTCAGGCAGCGGCCATGTTGGATGAGAATATGTGTTACGATATCACTAAAAATTCATTCTTTTACCATACCAAGAACATTGAGGAAGATCTTTTGGGAATTAATTGAAAAATGTTTCACTCCTATTACCGTAGTGCACAAAATATAGATAACATTAAGGCTAAATATTGCACTGATAAACATGTTACTCGCAATAACATCGTGACCTCTATATTATACTACATAGTAACCGTTTCTAGTTGCAATGTTAATGCACATTGCTAGTGGAACTATATAGCTTTGTTAGTTTTATTTGTTTTAATAAACAATGCTAACGAATTGCTTATTACGTTAAGCTATCGTAATCGTTGTAGAACTATGTGGATGTCTGGCCTGTCGGAACGTAATTTGGCCAATTTATGGTAGCTACTATCTGGGACCACGCCCTTTGAAAAAGGAGGTGCAGGCCTTGATGTGTACAATAGTAGCCTATATTAAATAGTGTTTAATATTAAATAGTGTTTAATCAATGTGTGTGCAGGGCCGACACTAGAAGCTTAATTGGGGGGGAAGTAGTCGTATATTAATGTACAAAAGAAATCAGTCGAACATAAGACGAATATATGGATTTGCTGCCTCCCCCCCCCAAAAAAAATAAGCTTCTAGCGACGGGCTAGCGTGTGTACGATGCCGTCGAGGTTATGTAGTAGAAGAGAGTACATAAGTATTTGTACTTGTCGCAGAAAAGACAAGTTCGGTTAAATAAAATTTAACTTAAGTAATCATTTTGTGGGAAAACCTTTTTCACCGAATTATTCACCAAATTTACGTAAACATTGGAATGACCCTCTCGCTATCAGCCACAGCTTTAAACAGCTTCGGCTCTTTGGTGTCTGCATCGGAGAAGGCTAGGATCGATGCTATGTTACCACAGCGATAGCAGTAGTTGGGTGCAGACCAAACCGTGACTAACTTCTCATCGAACATGTATTTGTAACCCTCGTGAACAAGCTGGTGGGCGCGGCAGATCAACTTTAGATTATTGATGTGAACAAACTAGAAAAAAACATATTCATACATGTTACATACATATTCTTATCAGTTATTTCTTCTAAGTTATTCATACTGAAGACCTGTAATTCCTCATTGCATACATTTAGTAGTAGCTAAGTGCACCACGGGGGCTCATAGCCCATGTTTCAACATCCTCTGGATCTGACCAAACCAAATCGCAGAACGCACTTTTATGCGGTATCTCCATGTTGCGTTCAATATAGTACGAATTTGATCCAAGGTCTTGATGTCCGGGGATAAACCTTTGTGAACACGAAGCACTTGTTCATCTATGATCTAGATATTGTTAAAAGTAACGTTATACATACCTTACAAAGATCTTATCAAGATCATATCTATTCAAGACCTTATCATTTTGTAACCCTCGTGAACAAGCTGGTGGGCGCGGCAGATCAACTTTAGATTATTGATGTGAACAAACTAGAAATAAACATATTCATACATGTACATGTTACATACATATTCTTATCAGTTATTACTTCTAAGTTATTCATCCTGAAGACCTGTAATTCCTCGTTGCATTCAGTAGTAGCTAAGTGCGTATTCATATACCCGATCGCTCCTATCATTTGTAAGCGTTCTTTATTTGCTAATTAGACCACGAGGAAAGGCCCAAACTAGCAATCGGTGGAGTTTTTAATTTTTTTTCAGTTATGAGAAAAATACGATGGATAAGAATTTGAAACTGAAAAGTATTTCTCCAGATACATAAAGTTATTTTGATCGAAAAACAATTTGAAATTTGAAAATTTCGAATGTCTTTTTCCATTCTCAGATTGGTTCAAATAAAAAATAGTAAAATAAAAAAATATTCCCAAACCACAGAGCTGCAATAAGCCAGGATCTTAGCTACCTCATTAGTAACTCTGTTTGATAGAGCAAGAAATAGGTGTTAAAATGGCGTCATATTCTTTTAGCGATTAACAATTTAACTTGACCCCCTCCCTCATACAAAAACGAATAGCATAAGCATTATAATAACTTTATACTAAACCATAAGTAAAATCAAATTTCGTTCAGTAACGCCTAAACTGGTACATAAAAGCTAAAACCACGACGTTTCGACCTAAGGACCCTTCTTTAGGAAGCTTAGTGGAGTTGTTCATATTTACTCTCCTGATGAACCACTGACAATAAAAGATGTTACACGTAATAATACGTTTGTAAAGAATTTCGCAGGACTAGAAATGTCTATAGTATTTTAAAATAATAATTCACCAAATTTAATTAAAAATATATACGGCTTATTGTTTTCAGACTAGTTCTTATACATAAGAACTTCTCGTGCATAATTCTTTATATGCATGTTAAGACAAGTATTTAGACACTACTACTACTGCAAAAATTCGAGATAACATGATATTAATTATTATAGAAAACCTGAAACTGGATATATAGTCTCTTTTATGGTTTTTATAGCAGAAAAATAAGTTAATGCCATGCAATTAGGCCCGAACAAATCGATGCTTCAACTTCAAACTGGCAAAAATCTTCAGCAAAAGGATTTTTCTGTACAATAACATTAAGTTTAAAGCTTGAAGTATTTTTAAAGTTGTTGCTAGTGTTTTATATCGATTTAGGGGAAATAACTTCGATATCAACCACAGCGTTTGATGGTTTTAGATATCTGCATGTGCAATATTCCTTCCCACGCATGAAAAAATGGTGGACCAAACTGTAAATGCTTATTTGTATCGAGGAGTGCAAAATACGGGAGTCCATAAAATTCTTTCTACACGTAACTCGTTGCTCATAATATGGTGAGGATATATATTGCGATAATTCTTCACAGTGTTTCCTTCATCTCTACAGACATTCTATATTTCAATTGCATTAATCTCCATTAAAGAAAGAATCCCTCAGCGCTTCGTGTGCATAAGGTCTATCGTCTATCTTGTAATTAATCAGCCACGACACAAAACTTTGAGCTCGACTATCGCCAAGTTTCTTCAAATTGACAGAGTTTCCCTCCAAAATATTTTGCATTCGTTTTAACTTTGATCCGAAAGGATGTTCACCTTGAGTTAAGATGAAGAAGGCAATCATACCTGCGACCTGCACATCTGATTTCTTTTTGAAAGGACCTTTTTCGTCATTGTCTATTGCCTTAATTACTTCCGGTGGCATCCATCCAGATGTACCTTTAGCGTATGTTTCTACTGTCGTTTCATCGTCATTAAGAACGCGGCTTATACCAAAGTCTGCCAATTTCATGCGACCTTCGATGTCAACCAGGACGTTTGATGGTTTTAGATCTCTGTGCAATATTCCTTTACCATGAAGAAACTCAAGTCCGGATAGAATTTCCCAAATCATTCGTGGACCTTGCTCTTGAAGATGTTCAATACTGCATGCATCAACAAGTTCCCTCAAGGTTTCCTCGCAAAGATCAACAATAAGATACATGAAGGTATCGTCACGGTGGAAATGTCGATATTTCACTATAAATGGGGAGTTGTTTGCTTCAATGAGATTCATGATTTCCTTTTCGTTTTCAACTGTGTTATCCTCACTTTGTAGCAAAATTCTCTTAACAGCAACTTCACTTCCATCCTTCATGAGACCAACATAGACACAAGAAAAACCACCATCGCCAATTTTGAATTGATTGTTTGTGACAACAGCCTGCATCAATGTTTCAGTCTGTGAGAAGAGGGTTGTCCAATACTGTCGAATGGATTCGATTCGTGATACCTGTCATGGCCAGAAATTGCGGACATGGAATATGCAGATTGCCGTAGCAAATTTGCATATCTGTTCAAATATTATTCGTTTGCAGAACTATAAATTATATTGCGCATTCTTAAATTTTGCAAAATTTAAGAAAATCATTGCATCTTTGCTATTTGCCCTGGTTGTTTCTTGTAACTCGTGTCATATTGAAGATCCTGAGGTAATATTTTGCTGGCAAAGGTTTATGTCGGCTCTGCATTTTTATTTTATTTCTACGCTATTACGGTTTTCGTTTTATATGGTATTCAACGTGATAAATGACCAAAACTTTGTTTTGAAAATGCAGAACGAATATTGATAAAACATTTTGAAATACTATATAAAAATATTAAGATTAACTTGCTCTGCAACGAGCAATTAAGGCAAATTATAATCGACCTACCTAAAGGTGTATTTTTAGCGTTTAGTACTGTGCACATTACAGTTTACTATAAACTCACGAAGCTTTATTTTGACACCATATGCAAATTTAGGCGGAAGTAGAATGTTAACTATGTCCGAATTTTCTGGCCATGAACTGTACACCGATCATCGCGTAAACAAATATTCAACAAAAAAGATGGCAATATTATATGGGGTGTATATTTTTTAAAAAACGTTTCAATTTGTGCTACTCTTACAATAAGTCAAGTCGTTCGATTGAATGATGTCGCGCCAAACCTCATCATCACATACGCCTGTATTGAAATTTTGTTATTATTGATCAATGAGAAAGTTCTTTCTTAGTTAGGGTGATTGGTCAACAGGAATCTAATTCGGGGGATTAATAAACAAGAAAGATGCAATATCACATTAAAGTTATATTTTCAGTGTTTTATTCAGGACGATGTCATACTATATTATAGTAACATCTTGAGTGAATTAGGGAATTTGGGGGGTTATTATTTTGTTTTAATTTCAATGATCTGCACGTGTTTAAGTCACTTGGATTCAGGTTCGCACATCACGCAAGTCTGGCTAAACTGGCGCGAAATCCAATTGCGTAGTCGCTGTCGTGCAGCGAGTCCGAAAGTTCCCAACAAACTTTTAAAAATGCTACCGACGGTCCAAACCTTCGTTACTGCCTAAACTCGCTGAAACAACCTCATATATGTTTAAAATATTTTTTTAAAACATTTACCTCTTTTAACTGGTTGCAATTCATTGTTTTCAACATCTGAATTTTCTCACGATGATTTACGGATCTTTTGAGGATGGTTGTAATTTCATCATGACCAAGGTGAATACTCCATTCAAGAAGACTAATTTGCTTTCCTTCAACAAGAAATGTTCCAGCTCTCCACACAGCGATGTTCTTTTCCAACAGAAGATTGACCAAAACAACTGAATTCTTCGCAACAGCCATCTTCAGGATGTCAATGCCAAGAGTATGAACGCTGCTTTTACTTTTCAGAGTCACGTCAGCACCCTGTTCAACTAAATACTTGACAATTTCTAATCTATTAAGCCTAACAGCATAGTGCAGCACTGTCAATCCGTCAATATCCTTGCCATTTACATCAGCACCATTTTCAACAAGATATTTTACTATTTCTAGCGTACCTTCAGTAACAGCGGTGTGCAGCACTGTCCACCCGTCAGTCATCTTTCCATTAACATCAGCGCCATGTTCGACAAGATATTTTACCATTTCTAGTATACCTTCAGTAACAGCAGAGTGCAGCATTGTCCACCCGTTATTTTTTTGCTATTTACATCCGCGCCATGTTCAAGAAGATATTTTACTATTTCTAGCGTACCTTCAGTAACAGCAGAGTGCAGGACTGTCCTCCCGCCAGCATCCTTGCCATTTACATCAGCGCCATGTTCAACAAGATAATTGATTATTTCTAGCGTATCCTTAGTAACAGCATAGTGCAGCATTGTCCACCCCTTAGTTTTCTTGCTATTTACATCAGCCCCATGTTCAACAAGATATTTTGCCGTTTCTAGTATACCTTCATTAACAGCAGAGTGCAGCACTGTCCTCCCACCAGTATCCCTTCCATTTACATCAGCGCCCATTTCTATAAGATATTTTACCATTTCTAGCCTACCTTTGGTAACAGCATAGTTCAACGCTGTCCACCCGCCTTTATCGTTGTCATTTACATCAACACCACATTGTTCAACTAAATATTTGGCAATGTCTATTTCACCAACATCAACAGCATGATGTAAAGCAGTTTTGCCTGACTCATCTTTACAACTTAAGTCAGCACCACAATATTTCACCAAAAACTTCACAATTGACAATGACGGAGACTGCATTTTGGACTCTGAGAAGTTATTCCATCGTCTCGAAGATACTTCGCAGACACTTGTACTTCCACTCGCTTCTTGCTTCTTATCAATTCCTATTATAAACGTTAAGAATGTGAAAATTAGACAATTTGATTTGGAGGGGCCCTTGCGCCTTCGAGAATTTTTTTTCTCTATCGTTTCTAATGTTGAAAACAAGCCTAGTGAGTAACTAAATTTTACCTAGAATTTTAGACCATTTTATTAAAATTTTCAAAATAGCTCTCTACGCAGCTAAACTATCTGACACGAACTTGGTGACAAATATTTATTAAATATTTCAGTTTCATGCTCTGGGCGAACTATAAATAGACACACTACAGGCTTTAACACAGATCAGTGGCTAAGCAAGGAAAGCGCACCATTGGAAGTGAAAAATAAAAAGTGCAATACAATTAAAGACAGCCCAAAATTGCAAATGAAGTGTTGCACGTTGCTTGACGTCTAATTCTTCTTATGCCCGAGTGGATTTCTTTGGAAAGCGATGTTTAACAGTATATGTAAACATTGACTTATGAATCAACACCTTATTTAAACCTAACGACGGTTCTGTACAAAATGCACGAGAAAACTACTATTTCCGTCCCTGACTACAGGACTCACTTTTAACCTTCGTTTATAGCAAAGTTAAGGTTTTTAAGGATCGTTTCTCTCCGTACGTCAAAAACGGTCAGACCAGTTCTCAGTTTTGCATTTTACTACAGCCCGATTACTGTTTGTATTTGATTGCGTTTTAAGACCCCAGCAATAAATGATATATTGTTATTTATAATTTCCTGCAATGCTGGAACTTTAAAGAGCTCTGCTCGCACGATCCAATTTCGTCGGATCCAATTCACTTTTAGTTTACAGGGAATCAACTAAAACCAATGTACTGCTTTATAAGTGAATTGATGAGGTTCATACGTGTGAGCCTTTACTTCAACAAAATACCCCTATTTCAAATCCAATATAGGCCTCTGAGGTAAGGTTGACATAAAACACTTCTTAACTCACTGATGTAGAATTCTTGTGGCTATAGTTTCATTGGCAATTTAATAATATGATACACAATGCATTGCACAAATATGCTGCGACTCAATCATGATTTCTAGTCGCTTCTGAATTCTGCCGAGCTGAATCAAATTAGTGTGACTACTGACCTATCTTCAATTGTATATAGAGTGTAGATCTTCTAGATGCAGCATCGAAAATGAGGCAAATAATTAATCCAAAATCTTTGTCATCTACGTTTTCGGCAAACGAAAGCAAATATTTGATCAAAATCAAGTGTAGTCAGAGGTTTAAAGGCCACCGACTGAGAACGGAATTTCCGCAATTGCATTCTTAATGCATTCTTAATGAATGCAGCTTAAAGAACCATGACGAACGAGGTTGCCATGACCAACCCACAATTTAAAAAAGTCAAAGTAAAAGATAAATTCCGAATAAACATGCAGGACATCTTGAGAGTCAAATTATGAATCAAACATGATTCTGTCTGAAGATGACGTTGAAATGAAGTAGAAAATTTACAGTCTCAACCTGTGTCTTCACTGTCTTGTTTGATTCAAATTTTTACTTTCAAAATGCAGCCTAAAGATTTGGGGCCGGTTGCATGAAAGCCGGATAGCGCTATCCACCGGATAGTGTTTTTTCAATTGCTTTAAAATCGCCTGTTGTTGAGTGTAACTTTGATTAAATCTTAGTATTCCTAAATCGAGGATCCTCTTTAATAATTGTTGGTTCCGAAGTTGAAATTTTATTGCATTTTTAGAACGGTTGAATCCCTATCCGGTGGATAGCGCCATCAGCCTTTCATACAACCGTCCCTTGGTATACAGCCGTAATGTGAGAATATTTGCCGTATTTTTCATTTGCTAAACCTTTCAAGGAGCATGAGCTTGATGTGTTTAGAAAAATGGAAGGAAACATACGAAATTTGAGTAACTTTTGCGTCTTAAGAAGCCTGCTTACTGTTGAAACCCTCTAGGAAGATTCTGCCGACATTAGTTTTCAAGCCAATACCACCAGGCGACGAAACATTGTTTGGTTCAATCCCCCTTTTTGCAAGTCCGTGAAAACTAATGTCGGCAGAATCTTCCTAAATCTTATCGATAAACACTTCCCCTTTCCACACCCTCTTCATAAGATATTCAATAGAAACAACGTCAAGGTCAGTTATACATGTATGGAAAACATAAAATCCACCATCTCTATAACCACAACCACAAACTGTTGTCAAACGCTCCGCAAGCTTTGGATCAATACAATTGTAAAAGTGTAAAAGAATGTCCACTCAAAGGAAAATGATTGGTCAAAAGCATTGTGTACAAAGCTGAAATAACATCGCAGAATAGCAATACAGTAAAAACATACATAGGAATGACATCAAACACGTTTAAAGAAAGATATGAAAACCACATTAAATCATTTAGGCACCTCCAATATTTATCGGAAACTGAACTATCAAAATATGTGTGGAAACTAAAGAATGACTGCAAAGAATTTGCTATCTAAAATGGTCAAAAATTAAGCGTTCACAAGCCTGTACCCCGGACGAAATCGTTGCAACCTCTGTACCGAGGAAAAGCTTCAAATTATCAAGTCAAAGTCGGAAAATCTTCTGAACAAACGAAATGAGCTTTTCTCGAAATGCTGTCACAGAAACAAATTCACCGCGTGGCAAATCAATTGCAAATTTGGTAATAGATTTGCTCCGGTGCAAATGTAATGCAAACTAGGAGTAAAGTTAAGGTGTTGCAAATTTAAATTTGCCTCGGGTGCAGATATTTGCAAATTTAGTTGACTAAATTTACATCATAAAGGCAAAAGCGTAAAGATTTGCCAAACTTGAATTTTCGTCCACCACTTAAAAAAGTCACACCCAGTTTACTGTGCTGATTCAGTGAATCAGTTTAATCAGACCATATTCATGGCTTTGCGAAGAAATAATCCGGTCGTTATTGGCTACATCCACAACCTGTCACCTTTGAAAAAAGGTAAAAAAACTGAATGGTGCGACTTCGAACTCCAAATGCAAGACAAACGGGTACGAGTCGAGTGCTTTTCAAAGGCAAAGTATGATATTCTGGCGGAGAAAGAGAAAACTCCATTGCCAGTGCAGATCTCGAACTATCTGATCGGTCCAGGCTGGAAAAGTACGGAAGATGAATATAAAATCAACGACATGACCGTTATCGCATTGCCAAAAGCGTCACAGTACAATTTTCAATACACTCCCGACGAAGAACCAGCGATCGTTGCATTAATCGACGTAAAGAAGAACATAGAAACGGGCAGCAAGATGCGTATTAAAGGCGTCGTTAACAAAGGAGAAACGGTCGAGAAAACTAAAAAGAAGAATCTAAAAATGTTGAAGAGTACTATCAATGACGGTACGACGACATTATTTCTCACTGACTTTGTGGGAAGACGAAATTGAGAGAATCGAGGATGGTAAAGTGTACATGAGTACATCTTTACGAATGTCAGTGTGAGACAAGTGGACCAGAACAAGACGCTCTCCACAACACCAAGTACTGTTTTTCTCACAAGTTGATGATGATGAAATGGAGACGCTGGGCGATTCTTTGGCGGTAGAAATGCTGCAAGAGCCAAGTGAAACTATATTATATGTTAAACGTTTCAGGTCAGTAGAGGCTGACAAGTATCAGTCTTGTCTACATTGAAAGAAAAAGATACATCCAGGTCTACAAAGTAAAGTTATTTTGATGTCCACGGTTTCCTAAACGCATACGCATTGCCGATTGTAAATTCGAGATCGCATGTCAAGTGTTTATCAAAGCAACTGATGATAATGGGAATGATGAAATAGGGTTAACAATTTTTGCCAATGTGCTTGAAAGAATTCTGAAAACAACGAATTTAACTGAACTTACAGAGAACGAAATAAGCGAGAAATTATTAAACTAAGAAGACATCAAAATTGTGTTTGGAAACGACTACATTGTCACTGCATGTAGCCCGTGCAGTGGAACTCAGAATTAAACAATATAAACCGATGTCGTTGTAGTGAGCAGTTTTTACCGAAACACGATTTGTTCCTACAGAATCCAACGAATTATACACCATCGATGGATTTGAATTTATCTTTCGCAATATGACACTTGCACTCACTCTACTGCACGTGTAAACAACGGACCACCTTATTATGGCACGGCAATATACAGCAAGGTGCCATTCCTTCCCGGATATCCTAATTCGTACAATATTAACGGCATTGAGCTCACAATAATTAAGATAACAAACCATCCAAAAATTTAACAATCGTTACGATCTATATTTCACCACAAATTTTAATTCATCAATTGTGCGCCGCATTGACAGAGATATGTCTAAAATTTTCAGGTAATGATAGTGTAATAATTAGTGATTTCAATGTGAACTGGCTAAATGTTACAGATAGAAGTAGTTTGTTCAATGTGATGGTAAGAGACGATAATTATACACAGTTAGTTACCTCCTTTACCACGGACAATAGACTACTATTGACAACATCTTTTCAAACACATCCCAAATTGTTAATTCAGGCATTTTAGAAACTTATTTTACCGATCACAAAACTATATGGGCAACGGTTTAGGTAAAGTAGCAAAGTATCCGAAAGTTGTTTTCGGCTCGGCACGTTGCACGTTTTTTCTCTTTGTCAGTTCTACACTCTTTCTGGCTACACTACAACTATTAGCACAAGCTATTTTCCCAGCTAAATCCATGATACCACTCAGATGACAAAGACAGAGCGGTAGTCACATGTACGCGCTGCGTACTTATTTTTTAAGTGGTTGCTAATTTCAATTAATTATTATTCACGTACAAACTGCGTGTCAATAGTTATAATCAGTTTATTATGGTTGTAATGGGTGGAGCAAGGGTTCTGGTTTGACAAAAACCGTTTGCCATTTGTGTAACATTGTTACATGTGTTGTTGATTTTGCAGCGAAAATATGTATTCTTTTTCAAACTTATACTTTTTGTTTTTCTTGTAAGATATCTGTAAGCACGATTTTTAAAAATGCAAAAAAATATATGCATCTATCAACGTGGAAAGCTGGATCCGATATTCTCGAAAGAACAAGGTAATGTCTGAATGTGGTTGAACGTCATAACCTAGGCCTTAAACCTGGTTTTCATATGACACCAACGTCGGCAAAGTATTATTGTCTTTAGTATTATTGGCTTTACTATTTTAGTTGAGTGATTGAAAGCTAAGATATGGAACCAAGATTTACATACAGCTCTGACTCAGTTTTGTAAAGGCAGTATTAGACCTGTTGTGAAACTTTTAACAACAGTATTACTTTACATGTAGCCTGTGCTAAACAGTATCCACTAAATCTAGTCCCATCATTATTAGTATATCATTAGAAGATCAAAGTAAACGCATGACCTTGAAAGAGAGACATTATATATGTAATATTAAATCTTCTTAAATTTAGATTTTCTAAACGCAACACTACTGCACTACTTTAGACCGTTGTATGAAAACTGGATAGTCCTGTCCACCAAATAGTATTTTTTATGTCACTCTAAATTTGGTATAGCCTTAGTACTATTCGAAAGATCACTGTACTTTTCGACGTTTTACTCTTCGATTTTTCTGGACTTTAAAGTTAATTTTACAGAAGTTGTAAAAACATAAAACGGTGGATGGCACTACCCAGCCTTCATACAACCAGTTTCACTACATTTATTTACAATCGCAGGGGACTCGATATGACAAAGGTTGTCTTTCTGCTCGCCAGGGAATTGCAACAGCTTCAACTGAAGATAGTTATCTTTGAATTGGACATTGTTCAATGTCTAGGGTAAGGGCTGAATATTTCGAGTTCTAAAGGAAGTAAGGTGTAGTTGTCCGTGGTGGAATGACCCTCTCGCTATCAGCCACAGCTTTAAACAGCTTCGGCTCTTTGGTGTCTGCATCGGAGAAGGCTAGGATCGATGCTATGTTACCACAGCGATAGCAGTAGTTGGGTGCAGACCAAACCGTGACTAACTTCTCATCGAACATGTATTTGTAACCCTCGTGAACAAGCTGGTGGGCGCGGCAGATCAACTTTAGATTATTGATGTGAACAAACTAGAAAAAAACATATTCATACATGTACATGTTACATACATGTTCTTATCAGTTATTATCAGTTATAAAACAATTTGAAATTTGAAAATTTCGAACGTCGTTTTTCATTCTCAGATTGGTTCACTGACTTTAGTAAAAATAAAAAAATATTCCCAAACCACAGCGCTGCAATAAGCCAGAATCTTACCTCATTAGTAACTCTGGATCCAAACAGCCAGCCCGCACCACGGGGGCTCATAGCCCATGTCTCAACATCCTCTGGATCTGACCAAACCAAATCGCAGAACGCACCTTTATGCGGTATCTCCATGTTGCGTTCAATAGTACGAATTTGATCCAAGGTCTTGATGTCCGGGGATAAACCTCCGTGAACACAAAGCACTTGTTCATCTATGATCTAGATATTGTTAAAAGCAACATTACGTACCTTGGAAAGATCTTATCATTTTTGTTTGCCACAGACAATGTTAAACAATACAAATTATTACTTAATATGGTAGGTGGTATTCGTTTAGTTAAAGTGTTATTAAATACCATCCTGACAATCCAGAGCATTGAACTTTAGAACCATAAAAATATTCTGTATGTATAAACAAGGGCCATAGCTAGAAGCTTATAATTGGGGGTTCAGGTGTATATTCATATATTTGTCTCATGCCTGACTAATTTCTTTTGTATACTATTGTTCCTATGACATCTACACATGAACCGCCATGATACGCCATGAATATACACTCCCAATAAATTAAGTGGTCTTAGCAGCTACAGCCCTGTGTATTAAATAATCAATTTTTGCAGATACTCACTGCAGCTATAGTCAAGAGGTCAAAAACTTTACAACAATATTTCCATGCATTTGCATTGCCATATTTATTCTGACATTCATCTATAAAAATAATTCAAAGATTGCTTAGATTTCATAATGTACAAGTTGACATCACAGTTCTAAGGCTTTTTAGAATTCATACCATAAAATCCATAGACTTGGGTAATTTGTCTGCTTTCGTGATTTCCCCGCAGCAATGTGATTTTATCTGGCCATCTAAAAAAGTACCCATATGCTGGTCAGTGATAGGTCAATAAATGCAAAAAGGACAACTGCCTTAATTGCAACCGTATCACTAAGGAAAGACATACTTAGCTTTCAAAGTCAACAGTCTTGTGAAACTTTCTAAACTATAGTAACCTCTGTCAACAAAATCACCCTGGAAGTTGAAAATGCATTTTGTTAAAAAAAATTATACCAGGTAAAGATGTGTAAAAAAAATAGATCAGGTTGTCGCATCAGGAGTAAACAATGTTGTGCTGCATCCCATGAACATTATTGTTAACAATGTTGTTGAACCATCAAAGGCATCAATGTTATTACAACTTCTTGACGTGATTATGTTTAGTATCTTGGAGGCTTCATAGGTATTAGTAAGAGTAAATTAATAAGCATTATTTGGTCTTTTATCAAATCCATGGCTACTCATGGCGATTCTGCTATAACGTAAAAATTGCCATCTGGACTGGGTATTTTACAGTGTTTCAAGAACTTTGCATTGAAATATATTGTTATTTTATATGAAAATGTAATTTTTCCACTATATTTTTAACAAAACACTTTACTTCATTTTTACAAATATGTATATCTTTAAAAAAATTTGGGATCATCATAGGATAAGGGTATATGACAAGGATGTATATCTAATAATTTATATAATTATCTATATTACCATAAAGATGTAGGAAGTATCAGGGATTTGACCTCCAGTTCTGAACAATTCTTCTAAATCATAAAACTTAAAAAAAAGAATATTCCTGTAAAGAAGACTTGCACAAATTTGGTGTTGGTAATAGCTGTAAAAATTTTAATAAAAAAAAATCAGTACATTCGATTAGGAATGCATGCCCAGCCTTGTTGATAAACTCCTTGTAACAATAACTTAATATTGGTGTGGAAATAAAGAATAAAATGCAGTACACTTTCAGTTGGCATGCCATGGGAATGTAGGACTGGCTTTACTGTCATGAGAGTGAACTTGTTTCAATATGCAAACTCTAATTCCCTACATCTCACGTCGTATCTATTGTCATAGATTCGTTTATTGATTTTTTGACCATCGAAAATATATGCCTTGTTGTAAGCTTTCGATTTAAAGTTATTTGTTGGCAAAAAAATTGGGAAACGTGTACTGATAAATTGTGAACAATTGTGAATGTTCAACTGTAAGGTTGGAACCTGGCTAGTCATAACCGCAATAAAAATGTTCGCTTCATTACCTGACCATGAATATCTCCACAAACAGTTACAGGGGATGAAACGGGCTGGACGTTTGATTCCTCGAGCAATAAATCACAAACATAGTCAGATAATTTCTGAAACAGACAAACAAATTACTGTGTAATTATTAAACACAATGAATTCAAGGTTCTACCACTTACTTTAGCTATATGATTATGAAAATAGCTACTGAAACATTCCAAAAATAGACAGAGATGTGTGAATCTAAGTATGGGTACTTTAAAATGTCGTTATGTACCTTAAGGTCGTTTTCTGGCAAGTATTTACATTCTTTTGCGATGTCTATCCACCGATCTAATTCCGCCATCTTAATTAATTTGTTTTACGCTGAAATTTCGTAATGTTTGCCGAAATGCATCACGGGCACTTGTGAAACACAATTTATTTGTACTGCCTTGTTTATTGTTTATTTTAGATACAAATACTCTAGAAATAGGCCAAAATGTTTACGAGTAGTCCAGGGATAGTGTTAATCCTTTTATTTAAATAGCTTACATAATCTTTATTTCATACTGTGCTCAAATATTCCAGAAAGACAATGGTCAAGATTCCAAGATGGCGGTCGGTTGAAAATGTCGAGATGGGATTGGGAACCAGGGAAAATCACTCGGGTAAATTCAGTGTGTAAATTATAATATAGCTCAGTGGGTAAATTAAATATGGCCTCCATTTCTGGTCGAGGAATTCGGTTCGGAAAAGCTCAATTATGGGGCAAACATTCATTGGATTTCTTTTGTTTTTTACGAAGATTTTATGCACAGAATGCGACTTCAACGTTAGCTCAAAAACCTATGGAGAAAAATTTAGAAAGTGGCGACTTATCGACTGAAGGTGGGTACTAGCTATCCAAACTGCAGAGTATGGCAAGTGCACACTCCAGATATCTTTTGCCCAACGACTTTGCACACTCAGTGAATAATTATTCAAGCCAAATATTGTCGAAATCTAACAAGTCTATGCAATAATTTTGCATGGTGGTAAATTAGCTTGACAGCTTGTAGGTACACCGTACACCACGTAGGTTTTTAATAATCATTGCAAGCTTGAAGTGCCACAGCTCATCACTTGCAATGCGGGCGCTCCAAAGAACTAATTCTAAAGAGTGCAATATGGGACCAACCTACAGTCTACTGACATACACTGTCCACACAAGATTGACAAAAAGGTTCAAGAAAGCAGAACTGCTCGTGAAGACTCAAGACTCAATTATAGAAAAAATGTTATATTGTTATTCAATTTATAAATTATAAATAGCCAATTTACTCGATTGAAGTGCACACTTCGCTAAATGGACGTTGGAGTTGCACACTTGCACACTTGAGATTTTGTCTTGCACACTCAAGATATCGTCGAAAACTCCTATACTCTGCAGTCTGGCTAGCTATTCCGTACTATTAAATGAAAAGTATTACTATAATATAAAGTTATAAGTACTGTACAGTTAAACCATTAGGCTTGTTACCTGCAAACAACTCAAACAAGCACACAAGGAAGGATTATTAATGCGTTGCTTCTTTAGGTCCACCAGAAAATCAAGAGAGCAAAAGAAAATTCAGGGTTTGTCAGTTTTTAATATCAAAATTTATATATAATTTTTACATATACAGTGGACCAGGCTGAAAAGTGGACAAAACGTTGTGTCAGTAAAACTTTTCTTTGGGTGAAAAGCTAAAAAATACTAGAACCTGCTCATGGATAAACCACTTTTAATTTAGATTCGTCCTAAAGCTGAAAGATTGGACATAGACAAAGTAGACTGGCCTTCATTTTATTCCACAGCAAGTTCCTACAATTCTTGGCTAGTGCCACTCCCTCTACGAATGGGGCGGAGCAGGCATAACAAAGTTGGAGGACTTCCAAATCGTGATATGGGCAATGTTGAACTCTTAAAGGTTAGTTGATCTGGCAAATCTGGGATGAATTCCAAGAACCATGTGCAATTTAGTGAACAGAAACTTCATTCTTTGTAGATTCCCAATTTCTTTCATCTTACACCTCCAGCAATTGAAAGACATTGCAAGGCACTAAAAGGTATGAGTAACTGCATGGAATAATACAAGAATTTTTTTGATCTTTCACAAAAGAAGAGTCTGGCTTGGGCATAAAATATATGAACTATCCAAATTTCTTGTCCAGTTTAAGCCTAATGTACAGTACTTATTGTGTTGGAATTGAGGTTTATTTAATTAAGTAAATAATTTTTTGTTATTCTATTATTGTATTGTGATTATCTAATATTTATATCCCTACGATTCTTTCAAAATTTTTAGATCTATGTACTGCATGGCCTAAGAAAAAACAAGAAACCCATCGCCCAGTGAGGATCATAACAAATAACTACCTGTTTGCAGGCCCTTCACTCAGGCATCCTAAGTCACATGTTGTTCAACTTAAGGTAAAGTTTATAAAAATTCTGGTTTATATATAGTTTATGTCTGACGGAGGCCACTTGGGCATTCTATATACAAATTCAAGAGTTGGCAGTGGTCAAGTTGTTCCCTTTGTCACTGTAGTGCACTACAATTTCAAATAGCTAGTAGTCTTTGACAGCATTTTAAAACTCTACTAGCTCTACAATATTGCAAATGGCAAATTACATTTGCCTAAAAGTAACCAGCAGTTGACTACTTTTCCAATAGTAGATTGCTATTCATCACTCTGAAGGATGCTAGCAACTTGATCTCATTCATACTTGCAATTTCCTACTCATATTGGAACTTTCAATGTTACTTTTGCACAACATTGGATTATTTTAATTCCTAAAAAACTTGCATATCTTTCTTTTTGCCTGCGATCTCAACTTGTAAGTATTGTAGTTAAGGTTACAGCTTGCCAGGACTACTACTTCTGAGTAGTTGAATACATACCAGGTATATTCTTAGTCGGGCAGCCACTGTACACGCGTAACTATTAAACTTAACAATTTCAAAGCTATCCTCAACTTTAAATGACCAAAGGTCAACCTACTGAAAGTTTTTGTACCTTTATTTTTCAAATATATTTCCCAGATTTATCTGAAAGATCTAACACTGGACGATCATGCTCGAAAGAAATTGATTGAGCTAGCCGCGCATCGTTATAATGTGGAAAATGATGAATTGACGATTATTGCTGACAGGTATGTTTTACCTAATTTTACTAATAACCGACAAGAACCAATGTTCAGTAACCGTCAACAACTGACAATGGAGAGTTTTATTTACAAATTTTGACATTTAGTTTGCAGTCCGTTCGTACCTATACCCTATGACAATGTCAGAACGGTTTCAAAATTGGCGTCCAATAAGCAGTTTTGCTGTTAAATTGCTTCTAGCTATTCATAATGCTTCAATTTTTTAAATCAAGCGTCGTTCACACCAGGCCCAGGGTTAGAAAAACTTCCATTTTAAGAAACGATTATCGAACTACGATATCCCGTACTTATAACTACGTTATTGAACTATGATAAACCGCCATATTGCCAGCCGTATTATTGAATAGTAGCCGCTCCTTAAAGAAAATCGGTGCACCTTATTGCAGAAAGGCTAGAAAATTACCACAAAAAAACTTGGATGTATAATATATCCACTAGGACAGGTCTTACGTGAAACCAGACACTATTGTAATGACAAAACGCTGAGGTAAACGAGCTACGTGAGAATAGGCTTCCAGCGGTTGAAACCGTGAACCGCAAACGTCAAACGGCGAGTCGGCGACTGAATCTGAACGTCAAACGGCGAAATCTGAACGTCAAGCGGCGGTTTGCGGCTCGCGGTTGAAGAAAATACGTCAAACTGAAACTTTCTAATAACCGTCAACAACCGACAACAAGCTAATAATTGTCATTGTCGATTTTGAAGAATAATGCAGATCTTTTGATATTTCACCAATGATCTACAGTCGAAATATCGCTTGCAATTACCTGCTTTTAAGTTTTGATCGATAACAATATTCCTCCTGAGCAGGTAAAAAGACTCTGGGTACGTACGAGGTTGAGCAGCTATATGTATTAGCTACCACATGTACTTATGACTATGTTGGAACAATTGAAATGGAAGTTAACAATAACAGAACCACTAAGATTAGTGCATTTAAAATGAATTAAATGTTGAAACACCTGATTTTAACATGTCTAAATGGATACATTTAATAGCCATACACTGACGTATAGGACAGGAAAAAATTTAGGTCCCGTGCGCACAATGCTGGTATAGTTTGAAAACGGAATGAGATGTTAAACGGTGTAAGAGTTGATGACCAGCACGTAAAATGGAAACCGTCACGCTTAGCATAAGGGTTTAAAAAGCTAAAATAATTAAAGCAGTAATAATTTCCTTCCGGTTGAGTTTCATGCCGATATCGGAACTAAGGACTGGGACTGTGCACACGGTCATGCCACGGTGTATTTTCCCGCGGATTGTTTGCACAAGGCGTCAAAGCGATAAACTAGATAAAACGATTCTAAAAACGATTCTGAAAACGCTCGAAAACAACGCTCGTGTGCACATAGCTTAAGAATAAACATGATTTGTATAACGTTTAACGATGTACTTTCCTTTAAATAGTTTCAAATACTGCTATAAATAAATGTTACTTCTATATCACTTTATTTCTTTATGCAATGACAGCATTCTGGTTTCTTCCAGAAAATATTTACAATGAAAGCATCTTTGTTTTTTCATGCAATTGCATGTCTTCTTCTTAAATGTCAATCTCATTTATTAAACATTGTAATTCCTTGCATATCTAATGCCGCTTCGTGCGATTTTACTCTTTAGATGTCCTACGAGAAAGCAAAATCGAGACTACGCTCTGTATCTTCTGAATGTTTTATATCACGAGTCTTGGGTAAGCTTCTCTTCTTAAAATACAAGGCGTCCCAAAAAAACTGACACTATTGAAATCACCGATAACAATGTAATAGTTAGAGTTTGAATGCCTAAGCACTCTGTTGGGACCCACAGGTGTATAAATTTGTTTGACATAAACCTTTTTATGCATGATGACAATAACATTTCTTTCTATACCCGCAAATGACTTTCATTAACAATATTTACACTTTTAAATATGGATATATTTGAATTTACAACTCAAACACCATGTAACCTTCGACATGTCCCCCTTCTCTAGAAAATTTTAGATATTTATATTTAGCATTTTATAAATTGTATTAATCCTCCCCGCAAAATTCCCGAACAAATCAGTCAAATTTTAACAGTAGGTGATTTCAATAGTTTTGGGGTTTTTTGAAACACCCTGTAGATCTAATTTGTCAAAGCTCTATTAATTCCCGTTTAAGATATCCTCAACAAAATATTCATTTCTTTATCCTGTGCTACTACAGCAGGAACCATGCAACACTAAAGTGACAGACTGTTAGAGCAGTGTATGTTGTTGACGTAGAAGTCTATTTAGGAATCACTTATCTGTGTTGATCTATTGCCCATACTATGGAAGAAACAACTTAGCAAGTCCCCCTGAAAGTTCAGTGAGAATTACAGACAAATTTTCACCCACTTTTCGACAGAAAGGAACCAGAACTAAACCAACCATGCCATGCAATTCTGTGCTATGCAGTGTTACTGCAAAGATTTACCTGAATCTAAACCTATTTATTCCTTCACTTCTATAAAATGATCTCAACATGCAGTCTAGCTTGCAATGATCTATAATACTGGTCTTTCTTTTACGGAAAAGTTATATTTGAAAAAGAAGAAAAAACTGTATTTGTGTAAACATTTGTCTGTCCTGATCGTCACAATTGTCCCAGTCACTTTTTAACGATAATTTTATGCTGTTCTAATAGAAAACAGAACCCTGGGAACTCGAATCGGAGAATGTCTCTGACGAAAGTGAAACACTAGATACCAGACCACCCAAGAGACGCCGTCGGAGGTATAAAATAATAGATAATGAACTCTATAGACTGAATAGATACGGTAAGGCTTTCAAAGTTTATGTGAAACGACACGGAGACCGATTTCCGTACGACAGCTGAATAGGGAAACGGCTGAACACGAGGCGCAAAACTCTGAGTAATAACTCGTTGGTCACTCGTAATAACTGTATGCAATGCAGCAGTGGAAAAAGATTTGCGTTTGACATGAATTTCCACCATTAATGGCAACCTAAAAATGGCAAGCGAAAAAGATGGAATTCGACTTGACAGATTAGGAAATTAATACTGTGAATTGAATATGAGACTTTCTTGAGTCCAGGTAAATGGAGATATCATGCAAACATGGAGCAAATTGTACGCCGCTTAAATTGTACGCAAGCTTCTGTGAGAGCGTCTTTATGAACTAGTATCATTTCAAATGGACATGTCGTATTTTTATTTTAATCATGTATGTCTTGTTTTTCTCCTTCATACATAAATAACCATTCAAATTTTTATTGATTCCTCCATATTCTGATTCTCTTATTTAGTTACATTTAATTACAGAAAATAAACTTCTATTTGGAGGCAGTGTAATATGCCTCGTGTAAATGATTTTCCTCTAGACTTCCATCTCAAAAATCCATATAATATTTATTGTAATCCTAAGATGTGAGACAAGAATTCACAGAAATATTTCGACATTATTTCAAAGTCATTATAATTTTCAAGTCTTTTTGAAATGTAGTCGAAATATCCTTGTCAATTTCTGGCTCTTGTGTGAAACGAACTGAAATGTGATGTTTAAAAAACGATGCCTTCCATCACATGTCTTAAAACGTATTGCATAAATTATCAACCTGCAAAATACCGGCACACATGAAAGGACTCAAAATACAAGATAAAGTTGCTCGTTGGTAAAAGAAAGGAAGAGTTTTATGGTAAGTGTCATCGCTTGTTTTAAGTCGCGATTTTCTTCCTTTGATAGATTTCGTCATCGTTTAACGGAGTTTCGCATTCACACGGACCGTGTCCTTGAACCTGGGTAATTTTCCCGGAATGTTATAAAAGCACTCGAAACCTCCTACCCATATATATACCAAATTCTAACTATTTAATGACCGTAGTGGTCGTGCCGTTATCAGTTTCTGAAGACGTTCTAACGATCAACTTTTTCCTAAAACTATGCTCCTCTTCGTCTTTCTCGGCGTCTGCAGATTCTACCTCCCTCTTTGAGAGATGTATAACAGTTCCTACGGTCGTGTCGAACGCACTCAATGTTTCTAGAGAGTCTACTCTCGTGCCACAAGGGCAGCCGATAAGGTTCACAACGCTATGACTTAAATAAAGTATCAACATGCCAAGACAATGTGAGATTATCGCCACAGGTACAATGCGATCTGAAAACAAAAACAGGGGCGTTAAGGGTTTCTAAATGATATTGAAAGGTGTGCACGTAATGTACCGGGCACTATATGAAAATAATACAGTAGGGCTAATCCTTGCGATAGCGAACGAGCTAGCATTTGATCGAAAATCATCAATTCTTTGAACGAACAAAAAACCCCAATATTTTAAACTGTCTCAAAGCTTGATACTATTCAACAAGTGGTCAAACGCAAGCGCGGCTATAGTGACATGCATCAACTTCTATCAACTTTGTGACAGTGTATACGAGTCAGGTGTATGAAATTAAAATTGTGATGATGCTACTCTGAGTTACCAGCCGGGTACTGAAAAATTTGCTTCACCACGGTGGGAATCGAATCGAATTCGCGCCCTTTCTTTTGCTTGGTCAAGACGGTTTGAAGAGGTGATATTTCGGGTATAATTTTTATGTTATGGTAGGGACTAGATTGAGTTCCGAAATAACACCTATTCGAAGAGATTCACCCCTGTGAAGTTGTACCACAATAACTATGGTTGTACCGAACGTCAAACACTGAACTAGCAAGGAAACAAATACCTGGAAAGACAAACAGTCCTATCATCTGCCATGTGCCTCTCCACAAATTTATGGCGGCGAATCCCATGGAATAACAAAACGCTGCTTGAAGTATAAACGTGATAACTTTCGAGCACTCGGCTAAAGATTTAAGCAATCCCTCGACGAACTTGAACGACACGATTATCGTGTATCCAAGTATCATGGATAAAAAATTCGAGAACGCCTCATGTTCGGGAAACAGGTAAATATTTAGAGCTGTCCAGCTTGATCGCCAAAAGGCTACTGTTGATATTGTTATGACTGTCATTGTGAATAAGTAATCGAAGATTTTGTAAAATATGTTAGTACGTGTATTTGCGGTGCCGAATGCAGTTCCTATATGAAATGGAGTGACGCAATAGTCGCTCGAATAGAATGCTGGTATGAACATGGAATTTGATACAGTCTTCGTTAGGCTGAGGACTATGAATGATACAACATGTGAAATCAGTAATGAATAACCAGTCGGTGGAAAATAAATATCAAGTAACATCCAAACTCCACGCCAGGCGTGCAACACGGATATGCTGAGCGGATACATAAACCAGCGCCACTCCGTGTGTTTTTCAAAAAGTTTCAGATCGCCACCTTTCCACTCGATGAAGAAGAATGTCATTAGGATGAAGATGTACCCGATTCCAACCGAGACCCATCCGCTAAGCAGTAGATAGTCACGGAACAAGAATTCGTCAAAAAATTTCCAACTTCCGCGCCAAACTAGGACGGCAGAAGGCGAGACGATGAATAGGATTAGAAATTGATCAAGTAACTCGTAAAGGAAAAGTTCGAAGCTGGAGTAGCCCGATAGGTTCTTTTGATGAAAACGGTCTTTCATGCTTTCGTGGTTTTATGTCATCTGCAACTAGAATGAAAAAAATGAATTAAAGAAAAGAAAATCACCATTTTTATGTTTTTCTTTTAAAATGCCTCGAATCACTTTCGCAAACCAATGCATTCTGGTAAAATGTAGCTTTATCTGCCACATTTTTTCGTTATATATACGGTCAATTATAAAGACAGTAGTTCTTTCAGAAAACAATGCGCAAGCGTGGTAAAAGGAGGCGCTTTGAAGATTAATTCAAGTTACCGACACACTGTAACCGTAGATTAAAACCAACGATTATTTCAGAGAATTTCTCGCTGCCCTGTAATAAGTAAATGTTATTTTTCCGGATGCGGAATTACGCCCTAAATGATAAATATCGCGTCTTATCACTCAACAAAATGTTTTAGTATCTGACTGCAGAAATTTTATCATCAGTTGAAATATTGTAATTCAGCACGTACTATAAGGTATGTGCAACTGAATTCCTGGTCAAAACAATGATGACACTCAAGTGTTAATCCACATAAAACTGACCCCTTTCCCCGACTCATAATGTCCCCCACTTATTCAAGCATTTTTAATAGGTTTAACATTGAATAGGGGGGGGGGGACGAGAGGGGAAACCGACACTGAAATGTAAATGTTATTGACAAATCATTTAGAGTGTAGTTGATGGTTTTGGTCAAGCTAGATTGTTGTTTATAATTGTGACGCATGTTGTGACGCAATTTGTGACGCATGAGCTCCATCAGCATAAGCTGAGCTGAGCTGAGCTGAGCATGAGCTCTATGTGCATCAAGGGCATGCAGTGTTACCAAATCTGCGTGGTTATAAATTTCATTAGCATTGTTTTTACAATAATAAATGTACGCATAGGCAGCCCAGAAATCGTTCTCGTGGCACTCGCGTGTGTATCATAATAAAACGAGCAGACTGGTGTACACGCGCGAGCGCAACGAAACACTTCTGGGCTGCCTATAATGTAAGAAGATTTTTAACGTTTCGACCAAAGGCTAAGGCCTTCGCTTTCTTCACAAACTTGAGTAGAGTTGAAAAGCGAAATATTTCTCTCAGGTTCGAAGCTGCAAATTTCTTAGGAGACAAATACGAAAAAGAAATATCCGGATCTCCAGATATGGCATAACATACATTCAATGGAAAAATAGCAGTATTGCTCAACCTTAACTCGTATAATCGTTGGGTCCTGAGGTCAAGACGTTTCCTGCATGTCTGGTTTAAATGCAAACAAATATGATGCGATGATTGATCGGGCTCCGAATTCTGCTTCAATGAAAATATAGCTTCATTATATAAATCTCAAATATATAGCGCAGAGAACATGTGAGCTATAATAATAACTCAAATAATTATATAGCTCAGCGAACGCGTGTGCATTTCAGATGCTCAGAGGAGCGTAGGTAGAAGAGCCTGGCTTGCAGGTTGCTCAGAGGTATGACCCCAAATGATTCTGCAGCGATTTTCATTTTGACTGTCTATAGGAAGATGTGGTTTAAAGCAGTCGTTTTTTGACAGTACAGCTATGCCTATGTCCATGCATACATTTCCAGTATTTCAGTTATAAGCTGTATTTCATAAATTTTATGAGGCATTGTATATGCAAGCTTGGTTTGCTGATGTATCTAGTAACATGTCGAAATGGTTGATAACTTGATGTGAGTTAAAATTTGATTGGAATGACTGATTTGAATGCTGAAGATAGAGGAAATTTCACACTGAAAATATAATTGCTGACGAGAATTATGAACACTTGCAGGAAATAGTCACTATACACTTTTAAGCAGAGCATTTATTCAACACAAAACAAAGTTCGCTTTGACCTTTGGGAAAGTCAATATTTGGGTCGTGTTTGGGCTAAATGTTTTTTTTATCAAATTTAGCTTCTTTCATCGCATTTATATAAAACATAATTTTATGTTAGTAATAGGAATACTCACGTGCATTGAGCATTACAAATTGTCTATTCTCTTGCGGCTGCTATATGAGGCTTATATATATACTGGAGCAGCACGCGCACACAAACATCAACCCCCAATTTCGACAAATCATGCATGTCAAAGTAAACAGATCACATGAAAGTCATCACAGCGTCCTATAAAGTTATATTAAGCTTAAGCTAGCAACATTTTCAAATACAAACCCAGAAATCCAGTCTTGAAGATGCATTTCTTTTGCCTTTCTGTACGACTCCGGGAAACCCAGACACTCAAATAATTTTTCTGCTAATATCAGCATGAAGTTCATTGATCTGGTGAAATCTGATAGTTTGCACGTAATCATTGATTTACTTTGCTTTTTTTATTTTAAAGATCGCAAGTAAAAGGTCAAGGTAAGATAGTTGTACACTCTACAGGGTGCATTACAGGGTGCATTACAGGGTGCAACTATAAGAAGTAGCTAGCAAACAGCTTTCATAGGCCTAAAATTTGAATTTTGAATTGTCATTAATTTAGCGTAATTTTCACGAAGATTAGCTACTTCGATTTTTCTAGCACCTACGAAACTAAGATTTGGTTTGTACAAATTTTGATTTTTTTAGCACTGGGGACAAATTTGATGTGCATTTACCAGCTAGAAAAGTAGAAGGATTTCAATTGATATTTTCTGCTAATTTACGATGAATGCATTTCATCAAAACGACAGATAGATTTTATGTGAAAAAACGCACCATTCAGGCAAAGCGCCGCAAAATGCTTCTGTTGGCGAGGATCTGACAATAATCGATTAAGTGAATAACCTACCTTACCATTATTCAGAAATTGCTGCTTTGAATTAATGATTTTGGTGCGAGCCAATAATGCAAATACTCGTGTTACGCAAATAATTAAAAATATGCAGGAAAATGACTAAATTTACAGCTGCATAATCTTTTAGTATTGTTGCAACTTCATTGTCAGGACTGATTCACGTGCAAATCATATTGGGAAATTTCCCGTATTGATTTCACATGTAGATATTTATCGCACATCTATTGAAGACCTAATTAGAAATGGTAGAACTATGCACCATTAATTAATTAATTACTTCCGACAATGGTCAAAGAATTCTAACAAGGTAAACTGGTTCATGTAAGGCAGGGTGTAAACTGTTAGAGTTTCTATGTTCGCGGTTGGAATTTTGCATGGAGAAACAATTCATTGGCGACTTTCATTGGTGAGGAAATTAAAACAGTGATCTGAGACTGAGTTATTATTACAAGGAGTTAATATTACCAATGCAAAATCCCAACTGTGATGACAGAAACTTTGACAGTAAACAGGGCTTAGCAGTATAATGGATGCGTGATTCCTCAAGTCATAGCTCAATTTGGCCACTATACCAGCGAACTCGACGCCATTTTAAGTTCTTACGGACATGGGCCTGGACATGTTTTAAGACTACACGAGATTACATAGAATTATGGCATTTGATGCGAATAAGTTTAGAATATCAAGCATGTCGCCGTAAAGCAAGTTTTCACGTCGTTTTCTCGATGCCTGCTCGACGAACACACGCTGCTGGTACTGCGAATTTCCTCATGTATATTTCTCTTCGTATAATCATGCCCAAAAATAACGTGGATCGACGGCAAAAGATCAAGGCCACTCGCGCCGCCATCTTGGATATGCCTATCTATCGTACTGGGTAATTCATCGTAATATTAATCCAATGCATCCAACAAATAAAATACCGGATAAAAACAAATATGACTTATGAATTACGGTGAATCCCGTGAATTAAATCATATTACTTTTGTGAATGACAAATACCAGCTTTGCGACAATAATGGCCGGAAAGGAAAACCGGTCCTTAATGGAAGACTGCGATAATATTTTTTCTGACTCTGTAAAACTTAAGAGTTAAGGGATTTTTGCAATAGTTAGAAAATTGTTTTTCATACTTTCACTTTTTACTTTTCGCGAGATACTTGCGGAAAAACCAATCAGCCGCCATCTTTTTCTATAATCGGATCAAGTGATGTGACGTCATACTGTTTAGTATTCTTGGATACTTTTGTCCTAATAATGCATCGCAATCGCATTTGAAAATATAAATATCTGATTTAACCTTGTTGTGTTATCATGTATACTTGATGATAGACACTCGTGTCCAATGAAGATAAAGAAATTTCTGTGACTCAAGATTAAGACGATTAACGTGCCTGTGCTTTGTGAGTTGTGACCTGAGATCTTAAGTGAATGTGAATTATGTGATTCTGTGAATCGTGATTATCATGAATGCATGCTGTAAAGAGAAATACAGAGAAATAGTTCGCTAGCGAAAGGAGCTATAAGCTGTCTTAAATAGAATTGTTAAGTTGTCCCATACTCGTTTACAGACTTGTCATGCACATTGCACATGCAAGATGAGAAATTGTTACGGTGTCTTTTGGAAGGACATGAAAACAAAGCGGAAATAGCCTCCCTAAATATACTGCAGAAAACAGTGAAACTAAGTCTAAAGGCGATTCTCCATTACCGTCCGCTTCACCCGTGCGGGCGAAGTGGCCTTTGAAATTCTGCCCATGCATGAGACCGTGATTGGCCTGAAAAGCAAAGCGGACGTAATGAAGAATCGCGTTAAGCTCGTGCCAGTCGCCACTCGCTAGATCCGTTCTCGCATAATTTACTTGCATAAAATACTGGTTTTCTTCGCTAGCGAAATATTTGCATATTTTCTTTAGAATGACATAAATAAATTAGTGCAAAGTGACTGTTCTCAATTCAAAAGAAAATATGCAAATATTTCGCTAGCGAACTATTTATCGGTAAGTGGAAATCCACTCTTAAAAGCTATCAAAGGTAAAAATTTAGAAAGACTCGTGCAGTTTGCACTCAACATAATTACATTTCATCACCTTTATAGTTGACAGAAAGAACATGCACTGCTCGTTGTTTCCCAATGCAAATGTGTGCATATATATATGCAAATTATTTAAAGTGTATCAAGCTTTGCTGTCATTAGCCGGGCGAAATTTTTAAGCGAAATGCAAAATATTTCGCCTGCTTCTTTTGAATTGTGAGCAATTAAGAAGTAATTTATTCAAGTGATCACAATTCAAAAGAAACAGGCGAAATATTTCGCATTTCCGGCGAGAAAAAGTACCCGTGGAATCAGGCCCTTACGGAATATGTATTTCCTTGACCTAAACTTTGTAGACCCGTTAAAGACAGCAATATGAGTAGAATATAAAAGTCGATCATATTTACCTTTTTTTCAACTTGGAAAAGATTGCATCTTGCATGCTTGCATATCTTCGTCTGTCCGGGAAAATTGGATTCTGAGTTTCGTCGTAAAACTGAAATTTATCGCAATGATTCTATATCGCATGTAACTTCATATCATTCCGTAATATCTTGTATCTATGAAATACATGGGAGAAAGCGTTAGAATGTGAAATATACGTTTACATGACTTATATTTCGCCCAAATGAAATTACTTCATTTTTTACAGTTCACCAATTGCATTTGCGGTGTCAATAATTTTCATAACTGATGACCTTATCGCATAATGTTTTTGCCTGCATAAGCAATATAACTAGGCAATAAAATATTGTTATTGTGAACTTTGCCCTCAAACCGCAATTTACATATATATATATACAAACATAGAAGTAGAATTTATGCACTTTCCATGCATTTCAGTTGCTGAAATAAACACTTCTCGATCCGGGCCCTCATTGGAAAAGGCCCCATGCATACTTGCTATATATATATATATATATATATATATATATATATATATATATATATATATATATATATATATATATATATATATATATATATATATATATATATATATGCATGGGTGTACGTTATTTAATGATAGTTTATTCCCAGCTATAATAGCTTTTGAAATTATTATCGACAATAATTCCTTTTAGACAGGACCCTTATTGATAGCAGTTAGACTTAACTGAAGAAATCATCCTGTATAAATATGAAATAAAATCATACAGACACTCAGTAAAATCCTTTTTGCATGTAATCGAGTGAAAAATAAACAGTGAATGGGAAGATGCAAAAATAACTATTTGAGACATTTTGAAATCTTTTTATATGTCACCCAACAACATGCATGCAGATGCCTATAAATTGAGTGCATGCATGAAAATGACATCTCTCAACTAATTCCAGATTCACCTCCCTTACATTCATACTCAAAGTTTTTCGTAAATTATGCCAGAACTGATGCCTTGCCCTTGTCCTTGATCATGAAAATGTTTTGCATTTTCAGATGTAAGTCTCGTCAGTCCCAAAACTGGTAAGATATAGATCTTTAAAGAAGATCGTTTGCATAGTCTGTTGCGGTCAATTCAATAATATACATATATACCTAAAGGTTGAGACCAACTTTTTAATTTTCTTCTATTTGATTCTAATGGCAGTGCATGAGGCAGGTCGAACCGTCGAAAGTTTATTCCCAGGCTGTGTCCGGCAATATGTCAATATAACCTGCCAGCGTTTTCATTCTTGTTGATCAATACTTTAAACCGTTTCAAAAATCGTTCTTTTATTCTCAAGTTGGTGAATACCAAGTATTGTCTTTTCATTGTTGAAAATTGGCATTAGTTACATTGCCATGGGCTATATGCTTAATATAGAGCGTCCAATTGACGTTTTAAAAGCACTAGCTATATCAGCAGGCTTTGTTTTGGACGCGCTCGGGAAACTGAAGACAGTAGGGGTTCGTAAAACTGTATTCAAATTTCAATAGCAAAATGGTTAATATTTAAACAGTTTATAACTCGTTCATGTAATTTGTGTTGAATTATTGTCCTATATGTACTTCAAATATAAAGTACTTGTATTTTTGGCCGGCAAAGCCGCGAATGAACGTTTATCTATATGTAGTATACGCCTTTGTTCATGACTTGTTACCTCTAGCGCCAGTTGACGGGCTTTTTAACAGTTTTTTTACTCGTCGCAATGTCCAATTTTCAAGCTCGTTGCCGTTGGCGTTGCGAGGGTTTTATTCAATCTATATATGTCTTGGATCTTGATTTTAGTAGATGCAAGCATTCTCAGCGAGATTATGCGAGTCGTTTTGGCGATGAGTGCATGGAAATGAGCCCTTTTACACATCGCTTAATTTTTTGCGGCTGAATTCTACTGATTGTTTTGGGCGTTTTATAGAAATGTAAATTAAAAAATGACTTGTTTGACTGCGCCTCTGGTGACCATATAATGTATTTCTTCCAACGTGCGTAAAGACGCGACATTAAAAGGGGTTAATTCATGGACTGGTTGCACGATTTTCCAGTTATACATGCGTGTTTCACGCACGCACGCACGAACCTATAAAATCAATCGTATCTTGAACAAAACCTTCAAGCTTCTGTCATTCAGTCCGGTTAAAAAGGACAACTGCAGGCGTAGTTATATGCATGAACATGCATGTATAGCAAATTGAGAAATAATTATGTGATTTTTTATTTCGAGTCTCGCGTATTATATACTGAACGGAATCCAGAATTTATGAAGAAGCTAAGCCTAAAGTTCTGGACCTATATAGTGCGTCGTTGTAGTTCTATTGTATATATTTATATATAGTAGCTGTATACTGTTTTTGACTTTTTGCCACGCTGCAATACCTGTCAGTATTCATCGTTTTTGCATGTGCATGTGTATATTATAAAGCCGTGTACGCGTCCTTTTTGTAATGAGTTCCAGATATTAATATACACAGCTATATAGTATGCTGTATAAGAACATTCCTGCATGACAGTGTTCATGCATAGTATAGAATGTTCTTGTTTATACCTGCATTGCTATAGCTATGGGCCATGGTCAAATATTAAGGCGTTTTAAAAAGACGGCAAATGCCTTGGTTGGGGATGCTGAAACATTGCATTGTAGCCGTTTATATAGGGGTCTGACTTAAAAACTGAATTATTTTACGTTTTCACGCCAATTTGTTATCTAAAGACTGAAATAGATTAATAATTATTAGTCTAATCCATGTTTTTTTAATTCGCATTCAAGGTGGCTCTATACAAGACCCAGTATTTATTAAACTATAATTATTAGTTTTATAATCGTCATGCATGCATCTTTATAAAATTGTGAAATTTCATCAGTTAAAATGTCTTATATTGCTTCAGAAACACAACTCCCAAAATCTGTTCTAAAAATCAATTTCTCACCGGTCAGACGTTCACGATCTCAGTTACTCTCGAGCTGAATCACGATTTACCGCTACTCCCAGCAAGGCCAGCATTGCATTATATCGACGCACTCAAAATTCTACCGTTTGCACGAGATATATAATATAACTGACTGATAACTGCAATAGATTAGGCAACGCAGATTAGTTTTTACTATGATATACGTATATAAAGACCATATAATTATATGATTTATAACCTTTTTATGCATTTTTTCTTCGGTGAACAGCCTGGACCAGCCTTCGCACAGACGGCCCCGGGCGAGTATGATTTATTTCAACTTGAAATTAAAAGATAAAGACTTCATTAAACGAAAGACTGTTCAGTTATATACATCCTAAATTTAATTCAGGCTGAGTTAACTGCCTGGTCAGTGACGACGGTATCGCCACCAATTAAGCATTTTCGTCAATTTCGTGCATCTGGACCGAGCGCTGTAGCAATCAAATTATACGAGATTGCTTGCAACATCTTTGTCTGTAATCAATTCATTTGTTCATATTCAAGTGTTGTTGACCTCACTAATAAAGCAATCAGGTGAGAGGAATTCTAATCGTGATAAGAATGCATGTCATAATTACAATACATGCATAAAGCAAATGATTAAAATCAGTCGATTATACTATATATGCATGGTTTTAAATTTTTGCAAATTAATACTTATGTAGTTCAGTCTCGATTTCATTAAAGAAAGTTCAAGCGCAAAAAATGACGTAAAATACTATAGAGGTCACACATATCTTAATCTGTATATGAATCGAATAATATACAAATCATGAACAATTAACTTACATAATTGTTTTAAAAATATTCGCCTTTCTTAAATCACAGTAAATTATACGCAACGCATTTTTTTTTATTCATCGGGTCTTTGTGGTTTGGGTTTTTCTGTGCATTTTCATTTTTGTTTAATATTAGTCCTGTTTAACTCGTTTGTGAAGGGAGGATAAAGCGCGTGCATGACGTGCTTGCGTATAGTTTGTCAATCACAGATTTCTGCATGTATTGACCAAAAATGAAAGCCGAATGGTTGTAGTCAGTGGAAAAAGACTGGGTAATTTATCAACTATAGGGGAGACAAGGGTGGCAAAGATGCCCCTTCTATCAAGGGCATGCATGTACACATTTTTAAAATCTTTCGGCGAAACAATATATATATACATATTAATAAAATTCAATCAATGCATGTAATATGATGTGTGACCAGACTTAACTGACATATCACACAAGCGAAATTGTCTATTATCAAACAAAAAAGACATTGCAGTTATATGTATTCTAAGCTTCAATTCAATTAACTGTCTCTCCTCCTTGATGAGCTAATCAGGCCGGTAAGGTGAAATTCTAATCATGAGGAGAATGTTATCAAAGGTAAAGAATTAAAATCTGTCGATTATACTGAATATGGATTTTAAGGTGCAGTATATACCAGATCTGAGGCTATAACCGAGCGCTGTAAGACTTGATGTTGGTAAATGTGAATTGTGAAACGGGTATACTGAAACAAAGCCTTTGCTGGGAGAAATAAAGACAAGCTAAGGCTATTTGAATCGAAAAAAGTTGTTCGTTGATGTAAAAATAGCTCCTAAAGATTGCATATGCACATGATGAGCTAGAATTCACAGAAAAAAATGAAAGAACTTGGGAGTCTCGTGGATAATCAACAATTCGTGAATACAAAACTCACAACTGCAAAAAAGGTTTGATCTCAGTAGCCTCGGTCTTTGCATGCGGAGAAAAGTGAAGTGCAAGAAGGCAAACTGAAAAACAACGAGCCAAAGGGGCAAAGAAAAAGAGGATGTTAAAAAGAAAAGCAGCCCATACTAATGAAGATACTGACTCATGACGGTCAATAATTTTCTTATAAACTTTAATAGATTAGCAATTTTCAAGTCATGCTGTAGGAATTTATTTAACTCTTTTGTTCACTCAACCTTTGAGTTGCTAGAAATTTTGTTCACCCCATGCACCCTTTTCTCTTCGGTGCCACCCCAACTTTTATTAAGAACCGATCCCTTATGCATGTAGTAACTGGAACACCTATGCTTTTACGTCCATTCTCATTGAAATCATCGATATGATATGAGGCTTTGGATATAGAGTTAGTATAAATCAACCGGCGTGTTTGCCTCTCATTCATAACCTCTTTCTTCCTCTGTCTCTCAAGTTTATTAACCTAGGCTTTTAAAATGCAAAAGAGAATAAGAAATGCCGCAGACACAGCTACAGCTACAGCTTGAGCCTGAGGGCTGAGGAGTCGCTTGGAGTCAACTTCGTTCCAGCGACTTTCGGTGCGTTCTCAACCACTCCGATCAAATTTGAGTTATTTTTCTGGGTTCTGAGTTATTTGAGGTAAAAATTAAGGGACACAGTAATATCCAAGTTCAAAGCTTGATTTGAAAGTCTATGAAACTTCAGTGGGAAAAAGACATTACATGCAGTAGCGCCATATATAATAATATATACACGCTCGACAGTATACGGCGTAAAGTTATCATGCACGCAACATGCAGTTTTATCACTAAACAGAGCTCGTGAATGGACAAAAATTAATTACAACGCAAATATTATGTTACAAAACGCTACGATTTTGAAGGGTAAGGCTTAAATGTAAACCTTATTTTAAAACAAGACATTTGCCATTTGGTGTTGCGAACGTACTAACTGAGCCAAGCGACAAAGTGCGATTTCATACAGTCCATAGCTTTGTCCAAGGGTTTAGCGGTTCGCACGATTTCTCTCGTAGCAACAGGGCTCTTATAATCATAGCCTAAATTTTCTTCACACTGTCACTGACAAATTATTCCAGTTTTAGAACAAAACAATATTATTTAAATTGTTACATGCATTGACGCTTCTAGTATCAAAACATACGTTCGCTTCCCACGGCAATGAGAAATCAAAGAACGAAAAAAAAACGATTAATGATTGCTTCCGAAACGAATTACTTCGACAAACAGATATTTTTTTAAATAAAGATTCTTGATTTGCTAACGGATACGGTTTCGAAGTAGAGATCATTCATTTGAATATGTTAAAACACTGGCAAAGTGACAGTGTTTGAAAATCGTGTGCAAACTCGTACAAATATTACAATGATAAAGGCCAAAGGCACTTTATGTCTTATTCCGAGGCAAATTTCAAGAGGTAAAATCTTACCTTTTATTGTGGCCAATCCGACATGAGAATTTGAAGGAGCAGTAAAGGCGTAGATCGTGAAGTATATATACATATATATACATAGATTATAGGCACTTTAAAATTGTTGCTATCTGGTACCGGCAAATTCAATCGAATTTGTTTTGAAGTCTGGAAACAAAGTCAATGTTATGTGTTATGGATACCCGCAATTTGCATAATTAACTATAACTCCTTTATGGCAACAATTTGAATAGATGAATTCGTAGTATACATGTCGACTGTACGCATTCAACTATGACGCGTTCAGCGTTCTACGTCGCCGGCACGGGTATGAGTATGATTCCGAGCTGTAAAAATTAAACACCCGAATATAAGATGAGACGCGAAGACGGATCTGCAACTGATTGCGAGCAATTGGACTGATCTTTGGTCCCTAGCTTAACAGCTCAGTTTCACTTAATATAACGCCTGCTTGCTGCCTCAATAGAGTTTAAGTCCGCGGTGAGAACCAACAACTACCGCCCTGTAAAAGCCTCGCAATCATCGCTAGTGAATATTTGCATTGGAGTACCTAGAGCGCTTTCCATTAAGCGGCCAAAATAGTCAGACCGGTCATATTTTAAATTGAAATAGAGTCCCGTGCTAGGTAGATGTAAATAACGATATACTTGAATGCAGAGTTCTTGAGACACTCTAAAATATCAGTAATCTGTCTGTACCGAAATACAACAGAACCGGTCTGGGCGTTTTTTCCGTATAAAGGAAAACGCCCTTAGATTACCCGGCCACTGAGTATTTTTCCGCTTCCTGAGTATTCTCGAGTATTTTCCCCCTTTTGTGCCATCCGTAAGAGTCAATTTCACCTTGAACCCAGAACCTGTATATTAATTAAAGTGGTTGCTTTCTGTTCTGACCAGCACTATATCTGGGACACATTACCTACGAAACCTAGGTCGGGCTGCGAAATATTTTTCAATTTCTTTACAACCTTTCGGCACGTTCTCATGATTTCTTCCGGCAGAAGGGAAGGGGGGGGGGTTAAACTTTGTTCCCTGGTCTAATTAGCTCGTGCAAATGACGTGTAGTTCGCATTTGAAACCTTCCGCCACATTAGGTGGTAAATTAAAGCGCAGTATTTCGAAAGCAAACAAACATGGAGTGCCGCGTACTGAGATTTAAGTAATAAGGACTGTGCTATGCTACACAGCATTCTCTGTAAAGTTGTGAAGTTGTTATAATCGGCTAAATGTGCTAAAACTCTTGCCACACAAGATGGCGGACTAATTGTTCAACTGATTGTACATGATACGTCATATTGCGAGAGCCGAATAATTATGCTTCAGTCGTGCAGCAGAAGTGAAGAGCGGCTCCAAAATGTTCCTTTGCAAAAAGTTTATTTAACGCTAATTTTACTTTAATTTTATTTACTGAGCATCATTTAAAAATTATTTTCAATAATCAGTTTTAAAACTTAGTCTATAGTTATGAATTAATTCTAATTGTACATAGCTATAGGCTATACTTCTATATACACAGTATACCAGTTCGTACTAAACATTAATTAATTTTAATTCGTGCATGGAATAATATGGTAGCTATAAGCATTTCAACTTCTTTTGAACTATGTATATGTACTTGTAGTATTTGTATATGTATATGTATTTTTAATGTAAATATTTGTATATACATGCACTGGCGATATAGGCGACACCCTTTGCGACACTATCTTTAGACTTCCTCAGGTATACAGTCAGAAAGTACATCAGGTTCTAAATGTAATAAAATATATAAATTATTATGGCTATAATGAATCTCACCTGTCATTTCAATTCTATATTTTTCATGGGGATATTTTATATAAAAGCTTATATAATTAAAAAAATCAGGACATGTGGCTAAGACATTTACATGCATCATAGCGACTATATTAACATTGCGTTCATAATCACTATTATACCTGGGTTAGCACGAA